GACTTGTTGTCAAATGTGCTAAACCAGATCATTAGCTAGTCTTCTTCTTTTGCGTCCTCTGTGGTTAAAAATCCAAAGTCAAACCAGCTCAGACGAGTATTATAATTATTTAACTAAATATAAAAAGGTGCTCTTTTGATTAGCTAATAACTAAACACTACTTGACGCGATTCAACAAAGAACATCATTCAGACGTACGTCATTACGTATGCACAAATCATACAAAATTTAGTTGAAAAACGATGAAAAGTACAAATTTTATATACGTTTATAGTATTATTTAGGTAGATGATAATTCCAACCGTTGCTTTTACTCTTTTTCAATAGACATACATGTTTTGTCTTCTTCTTTTTGTTGTTTTATGTATTTGGCAAAATGATATTCGCATTAATTAGGTGCATGTTAAGAAGAAACCACATCTTTGCTTCTTTCACTTTTTAGTCTTTTTCAATCTAGGGGACCTAATCTTTTCTCCTTTTTTTTTTTGCGATCTCTACATTTTTTCCCAAGATTTTTTGTATTTTTTTTTTTTATATAAAAGAGTATACAAACCAACACTGTAACATATATTTGATAAAGGCTTAGAGGAATTTTTTTTTTTTTTTTTTTTTTTGTTCTTGGATCCAATCAATGTAAGACTTTGTTTGCTTGATACTATCATCATATTCTTTTTCAATAGACATACATGTTTTGTCTTCTTCTTTTTGTTGTTTTATGTATTTGGCAAAATGATATTCGCATTAATCTAGTGGACCTAATCTTTTCTCCTTTTTTTTTTTTTTTTGCGATCTCTACATTTTTTCCCAAGATTTTTTGTAGTTTTTTTTTATATAAAAGAGTATACAAACCAACACTGTAACATATATTTGATAAAGGCTTAGAGGATTTTTTTTTTTGTTTTTTTAATTCTTAGAGGACTTACAATTATCTTTAGTTTCTACTGTGAATGAAATTATAAGTTGAGTTGGACAAATTGAGCTTTATGCAGTGAATTTTAATTCTTCATTTTTCTTACATACTTAGTTTATGTTGTAGATCAAAAAGTATTTAGCATGTAAAAAAGTATTTAGCATGTTTAACTCATACCATGGAAGTATAATGAAAACTAAGAAGATAAAACGTTAGTTTTCATAGTAGATTACGTTTCTTTTGTAAATAGACAATATGAAATATTTATCCTATGATTTTTTTTTAATAATTGTTTCTACAAAACCCATGCCCAGAACTATGTTAACATTGGCCTAAAAGGAGTGTAACCACCTAATTGTAGGGAATCCTAGATTCAAAACTGGAAAAGATAGAGAAATTAATCGTGCACTCGTGCTACGACAAATTCTCACTTAATTAGCACAGCAGACCCAATGGGGCCTTGCCATTTTACAACACGGCAGTGATGTTGGTGTCCGAAGGTCTTCTTCTCTCTGCGAATATCTATCGCCATGTTACATCTGACACGAGTTATACTTTCAAAAGACTTGTTGTCAAATGTGATAAACCGAGCTAATCCAAATTCAAACCAGCTCTAATGAGGTGATTAATTTTTAACTAAATTCATTTATTTATGGTTATAATAATAAAAGTGATCCTTTTCATCTTATAATTTATCTTACGTGATTAATCTTCTATAAGGCGACCAATCAGATCCGTTATTACGTAAGCACACCTGTAGCTATTTATAGTAAATGCCACGTGTACATTACTTACGAATAAGATATTGAGATATTCCAACCTGTCTTTTTACTTGATGATACTCCAACATAGCTTTTCAAAAAAAAAACTATTTTATTTTTTTGAATAAAGGGTTTAGCTTTTCAAATTTTCGCCTTTTGCATTGTTTAATCTATGTCTTTATTTATTTCTCAATAGGAATTGACAATTCTAGTTTAGGTTATAGAGTGTAGAATAAATTTGGGTGTTTCCTTAGTTTCTCTAGAAATTTTGATTCATATCGCTGATCAAATAAGATGATAAACTTTGTCACAAAAGGAAAATTTTGTTTGTAACATTAATTTGGTTGTAGGTTCACAAAAATGTAACAAAACCAATTATATTAGTAGAGAAGAAACGGAAGATATATAACAATATTCCATTTAAAAAAAGATATTTTCAAAATAAAAAAACAAAGTGAAAAAAGAAATAGTGTGATAAAGAGAGGTTCAAAACACAGAGAACTAAAGAGTAAAGTTTATAAAGGGTATCCAAAACCATGATTTATTCCAATAGAGAACAACAGTTATATATTTTTGTAAAAGGAATATATTGAAGCATATCATGAAGCTAGAAATCAAGAAGTACAGATAGATCGATATGAAATCTGCTCTTTTATAGTTTATACTCTCAATATTAGATAGGCTTCTCCAAGCTTTTCACCGATATACGTTTGAAAAAAAAAAACATCATTGGATTTTGATGAATCGATGATGATGTGTTTTAATAAATACTATAAGACGTACGTATATATATATATATATATCATTGTTATCAATGTGATATTTGTATATTGCTCGCATAGTTTCTAGGATTTGAGGATACAGCTGCAGATGCGTGTTCTAGAAAAATAAAATAGTTGAAAATAGCACTTCATTAGATTCCTGTGTTTTCTAAATACTAATTGATATGATTTTATTGAAATCTAATTTATATCCCATCAGAAAAATATCTACGGAAAACATTTCCCAAGATTTCTTAAATATGATATTTGATAGCGATGATGTCCACACGTAAAAATGTTTAATAGATCAAACGTAACTTATACCATGGGATCGAGTGATGGACAACAATTAGTCATTAGATGGAGTTGAATTGATTAACTAAAAAGTGGAATGTTTGATCTATTAACCTTTAAAAGCTCCATTAATGGCCAGAAAATAATTAGTCATGAAGAGAGAGTATGTTTCTATTTTCGAATACTCCAAAACTTATTAAGATAATGTATTCTTTTTTTTGACGTCTGATAATGTATGTTTCTATTTTTAGTTTGTGTATATTTACGATAAATTGGAATGTCATTGTTCTCGAAAACCATCTCTTCTTTATTTTTTCCTTTAAGTGACCCCGCACTGTTTCATGTCTTATCTACGCATGGTTTCTTATTTCGTCAACTCAGGAAAAAAACATGAAACTCATAACAGGGAATTATAACTAAAACCAAGAAGATGATTTGTTGATTTTCACAGTAGATTTAATTCTTTTCATTCCTTTTGTAAATAGACGTTACATAGTTTTCCTAGCTAAGAACAAAATATCAATCATCTCTACTTGAACCTATTGAACCCACCCACGAGGCCACGACTATTTTGCCCTAAAAGGATTGTAATCATTTAGTTGAAAATAAGGAATCTTTACGCCCTAATAAGGAACCTTTCTTTCAGCCGTCACCTCTCTCTCACAATATCATGTCTTCTTCCAGTGATGAACAAGTCATTGTCTCTGGTTCTACCGCCCTTATCAACGTCAATATGACGAACGTTCCAAAGCTCACTGCTTCCACCTTCTTGATGTGGAGCCGCCAGGTCCACTCTCTCTTCGATGGATACGATCTCGCTGGCTATCTCGATGGATCCACTGCTGCACCAACACCCACTCTCACCACCAACGGTGCTCCCTCCCCCAACCCGGCGTACAAACTGTGGAAACGTCAAGACAAGTTGATCTATAGCTCGCTCCTTGGTGCCATTTCCATGTCTGTCCAGCCGCTCCTGTCAAAGGCGGTCACAACTCATGATGTCTGGAGCACTCTCTCCGACACCTACGCTAACCCGAGTCGCACTCACATCCAACAAATACGCCAACAAGTGAAACTTTGGACCAAAGGCTCCAAATCCATTGAGGAGTATGTCCAAGGATTCACTATTCGATTCGATCAGCTTGCTTTGCTTGGTAAACCCATCGAACATGAAGATCAAATTGAATACATCCTCAACGGCCTCCCTGAAGATTACAAGCAAGTCTCTGCTCAGATTGAAGGCCGTGACTCGCCGCCGTCCATCACTGAGGTGTATGAAAAGCTCATCAATCAGGAGCTGAAGTTACAGGCTCTTGTCAACACGGCCTCTACTCTCCCGATCTCTGCGAACTACACCAACAACACCAACAACCGCAATCGCTCATCCAACAAACCAAATCAGCAGCGTCACAACTCAACAAACTGGTCCAACCAGTCCAACACAGGTCTTCGCCTCTTCCTACTTCTTGAGCTCATCACCTTGGCACATTCCGTCACCACTCACACTCAGGTTCTCTTTCACGATTGATTAAATAAATTAAGGCTAATTTAGGGTTTAAGTTTTCAAAAATTATTATTTAATATCAGGGAAAAAAACATATTACTAGATGGAATTATAATAAAACCCAAGACATTAACAATCCTCTCTCTGCTAAAACCTCAATCAGTTACCAAACCGAATTTCACAAAATTAAACCAAAATTCCTTTAAGATCGTTACCCAAATCGAACCATAACTAAATTGAGTTTTTTTTATTAACAGATTTTATATATAGCCAAATAACAGAACCAAAATTATTATATCCATACATATACTGATATACATCTCCTTTTTTCTTCTTCTGAATCTTCGAGTGAACAAAAATTAAGAAATTGACAAAAGACACATTAATATATCCATAAAAGACACATTAATACAGTAATATTAAGAAATTGATACACATTACTGAACTCGTGAAAAACACATTTTTAAAAAAGACCATTTCAATGTGTTATAAACATATATTTAACTATTAAGCTAAATTGTTTTTACCGTCATTGCTGCAATGACCCAAGAAATGAAAATAGCTACGTGAAATATTTTACTATTTTTATTTTACACGGAAATCACGGTATGGTCTACACCATAAACAACACATTGATATATCCATACATGTGTATATATATATATATATATATAAATCGTTTTTCTTTTTTGTTTCATCTTCGTGTGAGATAATTTTACTAATATGTTTTGTATGTTTGAAATCTATTTTAACAGGCTTCCGATGGAGATATGGTCATATGCATCTCCAAAGAGAACCAACCAGCTTTCGACCACCCTCTTTTAATGTATCACAAGATACAGGTTTGTTTCTTTACTTTTTAAATTTTATTTATCGATTATTTATGATTTATGTTGATAATCATTTTATCTTTAATTTTATTGTTAATGATACATTTAAAAATAAAACTAATACTCATTTAAAAAAACACAGGAAGCACCAACAGAGATTCCTAGAGTGATTGGAACTAATAAGAAAAGTGAATGGCCAACATCAGAGGCACACGTCAGTACCGCCAAGTGTCCCCAAGATAAAGTGCCGATACAAAACATGACCGCTTTGTCTCATCGAGCAAAACCCGAAAGAGGCAACAACAATACTAGTGTTATCCCCAAACATGAGGTACATAAACTGCTAAGCTTATATTTATTACTGTATATAATACGTACGGTTTAAATATTGTGTCAATTAACAAAATATTAATATTTTAGTCGACAGATTTCTTCATATGTTCATTAAAATATTTTTATAGTTAACTTACTTTCCGCGATCTTATTTCATTCAAAAGCAAAATTCAAAATGGGAACATATCAAATGAAACGTTTTTAAACAATTGTCTCTGGGCCTAAGGCCTAGGTACTTCTTTCAATTTAATTGGGCTGGGCCTGAAATTATTTATATTGATTTTTAGAATTTATTTGGAGATAAATCTATTTATTATTATTATTATCCACTTACGATTTGGTAAACATGTAAAGTAAGTGATTGATTTGTTGACAAACAAAAAGAAGAAGAGAAGTTAGACGTTGATTTTACCTCTTTTTGTTTTTTTTTGTCTGAATTTTGATAAATTTATTTTTCTGTTTAAAATATTGTACTGTTTGCAACATAATAATTTTTTTTTTTATATTTTATAAATAGGAGATAGTTGCAATTTTTAAGTTATGCCGAATTTATTAATTCATTCTATACAAAAAGTGAAATAAATTTTTTCCTTTTGCTTTTTAAAATTTAAAAGGATCGATATTCCTATTTCTTAGTCAGATTGATTAAAAAATTGTTTAATGCCCAAACATCATTGTAAACATAAAAGTGTTTCATGTTACCAAAAAAAAAAAACAAACATAAAAGTGTTTTAGAAGCTAAACCTTATTAACTACAGTAAATTTGGATTTTAAATGATAGCATGCAGTTGCACTAGCTCGTGGCATACCAAAAGTATATGGAACCAAAGCTGTCATCAACATATGGGAACCGGTCGTTGAAGATAAAAAAATAGAGATGAGCATTTCTCAAATTTGGATAACTTCCGGAGACTTTGATACAAATGATCTCAACTCAATAGAAGTTGGATGGCAGGTGCGTCTATAAACTTAGAAATAATTTATTATTATGTATTTTTATTTCTTATTTTAATTTAATTTAAATCTTATTATTCAATTATTTAGGTAGACCCAATTGTATACAAGGACAACAAGCCAAGACTATTCGTTTATTGGACGGTACATTTTATTTTTATATTTTTATACTTTGTTTTACATTTTCAAACATAAATTGCTAAGCCAATAATTTATTAGTTTATACGTTAAATATGAGAATTGCTATAATTAAAATTAGATCAACAAAACAAGACTATTAACACAAATAAGATATACATCACACCAAAAAAAAAAACACAAATATTTAAATTGACTATACATAGATATTTAAATTGACTAGGTTTTCTAGTTGACGGTAGAATCGACTATACATTTATATCACTAGTCTTCGTTTTTTCTTTTCTTTTGTATAACAGGAATAATACAGACTATAGTTCGTAAAAACCTCTCATATCTCTATGTATCATTTCAGTTTATTTTCCAACTATGTTTGAATTAGAAAAATAAGATTCAAAATCAACCCTAGAATTCAAAATTTATTTTAGATAATTAGAATCTAGAATTCAAAATAATTTTAGTCAGTATGTAGGGTAATTTTTTTAAAAAAAACATAATTAAATATTATTGGTTAATTTTTAAGGATTTTGTTTCTCTCAAAACATCTTTTTGTAGATAATATGATATCATATGTACACACATTTTTTCTTATAAGAAAAATGCAGTACGTACTTAGTTGAAATATTTTAGCCAAAAATATCAATAGTTAAAACTAATTATTAAAACAATTTTTTTTTTGAAATAAAAGACATATAACAAGTTCTTTATATAGACTAAATATAGGAAATAGAGGAATTTATTGATTTATGTAAATCCTCTTTTATTATAAAAAATGAAATAATATATCCAATATGTTTTTGTACTTCTTTTAAAATAATCTACAATAACAGATTTTGGATTAATTTTTTGCATTCTAAGAGGAATAATATTGATATTTTCCAGAGTGACGCATACCGTACAACCGGAGGCTATAACCTTCGGAAACCTGGTTTTATACAAACCAGCAGCGAGATTGTCCTAGGAGGCTCGATTTCTCCTGTATCAAGCTTCGGGGGTAGCCAGTTTGAGATCACTATTCTCGTCTGGAAGGTTTGGTTTCTCTTTACTATTTTATTTTAATTAATATATGTGTATATTATATTATCAGTCTTGAAAATAAATAAAATTCTAGGATAGCAAAAGTGGAAACTGGTGGCTGAGTTTAGGGCCGGACAATGTATTGGTAGGATACTGGCCTAGGGAAATTTTTAGCAGTTTAGCTGATCATGGCACGAAACTCGATTGGGGCGGTGAAATCATTGATTCTCACAGCTTCGGGCGTCACACAAAGACTCAAATGGGCTCCGGACGCTTCCCTGAAGAAGGTTTCGGAAACGCGAGCTATGTCCGAAACCTGGAGATGGTAGACGACACCAATACTTTACAGCCGATCGAGGTGAAAAGATATTATTCAGATGGCCCCTACTATAGCACTAAGAAGTTGCATACAGATGAGTGGGGAACTCATTTCTTTTTTGGGGGACCAGGATTGAGTTTGTATTTTATTTATTTCAGTTTTAGTTTTTTCATTATCATTTAGTTTCCTTTCTTATTTTTATTTGGTTGTTTTTAAACCTGTGTAAAAAAAAACTCTGTTTGTAATAATTTTTGTACTCAAAATCTTATATAGCAATTTGGAAGGTTGATTATAAAGATCCGTATAATTTTAGGAAGTTATCTCAATAGAAATAAAAAATGATGAGAGGCTGATGGAGTTGCTGTATCAATGGAAATCTGAAACAAAAGCTATTGTTGTTTGATCCTCTCATCCCAAAACTCTTCTTTATAGACTCTTAAAATTGTCTTATAGTTTTAAGAGTTTAGACAGTTCCTGTACCAAATTCGATTATTTCTCACCTGCAAATAAAGAAATCACTGGCTCAAAAGTTGGGTCTAGCTTGTTAATTCTTAATTACTTATTATGACCAGCAAAACCAAGAGTGGAGATGGTTATGATAACGGTAAAATTAGCAACAACTGGAGATGAGGCTCGAAAGAGTAAATTGATTAAAAATCATAAGACTAAACGATCATGTCTAAGCTCAAAAACTCACAAAATGTAGCACACAAGTTCTTGAATTTTAAAGTAGAACAGAACAAAGACTTTTAACTGAACTATCGAAATCCATTTCAAGAGCTTGAAGCTTTGTATGAGTTGTTTAAGACCTTGGCTTTTCCTTCTTTTCCTTGAAGAGGGCCAGGAGCCTAACTCCTCAATGGGATGATTGGATACAAAAGTCATTGCATGCGACTTACGTTTTCCTCAACAATCATGATAAGCTGAACTCTAGCACACTTACGGATAGAAGAGTTAGGATGCTTAGCCTCAATACCGCTGCATAATCAAACACAAGAGTCTCATCACCGTCAAATGTCTATATACCAATGTCAGAAGAACCCAAAAAGAAAACAAAGCTCTGCAGAGAAGTAGAAACAGCAACAATCTCTGAAAGTTATTCATCTCTACAAGGATTGGAATATAATGCTTTGACTCATTTAGTCTGTCGTCTCTCAAGGTCTATTATATGCATACGAATCTCATCTGGTACATGGGTTATCACTTAGCTACTCTACTCTACAAAGTTTGAGAAGACTGGTCCACTAAATAGTGACTTATTTCTTCATGGTTTATATGAAAGCAAGAGTTCATTATTCAACGGATTACTCACCATCACAAAGCTTACTAATTTAAACACGTTCGAATGCAAGAGTTTTTCAAGAAATTGACCAAACCAATTACTTTCTAACAGATGATACCTTTTGTGTCTTTAGTATCAACTAAAGTTTTTTCAAGAAAATACCTAATCAAGATCTATCATATCATCAACGTTTTTGATGCAAAGGCTTACCAATGTTCTCTGTTGAGTCCTATGGCTATTTCCTGCATCATTGTATCTAAGAGTTAACTATGAATCCATCAAACATAGTAACCACTACCACCCAAGAACAAATCCAAGTCATTTCACAATTGCTTCCTTCAAATCCTATAAAAAGAGAATATGAAACCAGGGAAGTGACAAGGCTTATACAAGGATATTGAATCTGAAGAACTAGTGGACACGCCTTATTATAAACAGATTGGAGAAAGATCCATCACCATATGATTTGATAAAGCACCAAAATTCGATCAAAATCCCGAGACGTCTAAACAACTAGTTTCGAAATAGAGCGAGAGCGAGATCGAGAGAGGGACGGGAATTGCAACATATACCTGAAACAATCCGGCGAGAGGAAGAAGAAGGTGAATGGGAGGAACCCTAAAAATCTCTGTTTTTTTTTTTTTTTTTTTTAGGAGGAGTAATGAATGTCAGCTACTTCCGAAAATTCTTCAAGTTTTAAAAAGGGTATTTTAGTCATTTTTTTATTTTTGACTATACACATTCAAAATTAAAATAAAACTCGATAACTTGGTTTACCTTGACGGAAAAAAAAAAAAAAATGGTTTACCTCAAAATCAAGTTGGAGAAAAGTTACTACCTCAAAATTAAATTGGTTTACCTATTACTTGTTGGTTTCTCCTCGGCATGTAAATAAGTGGATCACCAAAATTTTAGTTACATTACTGTAAATTCTGTGTTCATTTAACATGATTTGAACAACATGAGATTTTCATTTTTTAATTATTAAACTCTTCCAAAAAATCATAACCCAATACCAAAAATTCTATGTTTTATTTCATTATTAAGAAATTAAAAAACAACAATTTTAAAAGTTGCCTTTTAGAATCATATATTAGCTAGAAACGCATAACTCAAGCTCAATTCACCAATTACTGATGGAAATAATCGATTATTATTTTCTGATACAACAACAACGTGCAGGATTCCCAACACAATGACCACCATCCGGGTAAATATCGCTCAGACAGTCACTGAAGCATGCAAAATTATCCCGTCTATTATCACATATAAACGTGCAAGGACCATATTTTTCTGGCTCGATCACTGCACATATATACAACTCCACATTAAAATTATAAATCTGTAGATACATATCCAAATAACAGTTTTATATTTTTCAAAGGTTGTTAATAACATACACATATACATATATACACACATACATGCATTATATTTTTGAGAAAAATATTCTGAATTATTGATTTGAGAGTGATCAAAGATAGTTGAAAAAAAAATAAACAACTTCTCAAAGAAACAACATACCTGACTCGGCCACAACATTGCAATAAGAAAACGAAATTGTCAACATTATTACAAGAAAAACAGTTACAGAGGTTTTTGTGATACCCATAGGTTCTATATATGATTTTTTAGGTTTTCGTGAAGAGTTTTATCATAGGACTTTTCGTGAAGAGTTATATTTATAGGACTATTTTTCTTGGAAATTTTCTATTTTTTCTCCTCTGTTTTTATTTTACATTTACTAGATCTTTCATATATAAATTTGTTAGTTTTGGTAAAGGGAGATTTTCATTTCTTTTTATCGTCTTTTTAAATAGAAAGAATCTTTTTTTTTTGTCAAACTATAGAAAAAATCTTAAATTTAAAAGTCTATAATTGAATATAACAAATTTAATGCAAACGATCACTAGGAAATATTTCTTTTCTAAGATAGTAAGAATCTTTTTTTTTTATGTCAAACTATAGAAAGAATCTTAAAACTACTATAATTGAATATAACAAATTTAATGCAAACGATAACGTGGGAAAAAAGAAATAAATCACATACCAATCACTTTGACAAGACCATTAATGAAACAATCATTGTGGAGTTTGCCTAAAATTGGTTATATATCATAAAACTATTAGAGCATGATTATTGGTAGTATCTTATAAATAAATCTTAGGAATATTTAAGTAATATATTTGTAAAAGTGATAGTTAAGATATAGTATTTTTGGGTTAAGATTTTTGTGTGATTAATGGTAGGTTCTTAACATGTGGTTTTTAGAAAAAAAAATATTAATACAAAAATAAAATTTATAATTATAGAAAATTTAATAATTGTTGCAAATTAAAAAAATTAAAACATACATGAGATACAATTTATAACATAAATAACACACAAATATTTTAAACTTAATTTCAATTGTAGATGCATACCTCGATCACGAATTCGAGTTCTAGTGGCCATCGTATCGAAGAAATTTGAAGGCATATCTGTAGAATATGTGAAATCCACCCGTGAGATAGTAGCATCAGACATTTGCAGCCATAAAACCATCTATAGCAAACCCCAAAGCAGCATATTTACACGAACCAGATAAATTGAAACATCCAAGTCATCAAATCCAACAAGATGTGGACGATAGACACCAATTTTGACACGAACCTAGATAACTGAAAGCACCAAATTATCAAATTCAAATATGGAACTCAAATGATGACTCCGAAGAATGAATCAATTAGTTACCTTGATGATTTCGGTGTCACAGAGGTCTTGAGGAAGACCAAGGAAAGAGATTGGATAGCCATGAATGAAGCAAAGCATGACACCTATCCACTTCTTAACTCCCACAAAAAGTCTTAGCTAAGATACAAATCTTAGATTAATTTTGTTGGTTTGATTATATTTAATCAACTTTAATACTAAGATATCTCTAAGATGTTGCTGTTAATCATGCTCTTAGAGTGTGCAACTAGACCATTGACACTTCTCAGATATGGGCTCATATTTTGCTAATATAATGTGGCCTAAATCATTTGCATTATGCACGGGCCGGGCCTGCATATTTATAGATATATGACTTTTACCAAATAAAATGATTGATTGTCAATAACAACAAATTTTTTAAAAATAATGTAACAAGTCAAAGTTATATATTTCTAACTTGCATCATAAGTGTATTTATGACTTTTAAGTCCCTCCTAGAATTTGTTCTTAAAAGTTGATCATAATTCATAATAATGTAAGACATGAATATGTGACAGCTAAAGTTGAGTATCAGACTATGTTTGTTAAAGACATGTTTCTCATCAAATATTGCATCCTTGTTGTTGACTTTGTCCACAACTATCACATACTCCATCAGTGGCGCGGATCCAGGAATATAATTTGTATGGGGCACATACAAACTATATGTATAACTAATAGTATTAAATTTCTATAATAAAAAATTATCAAATCATATACTCTTATGTCATACCTTTAATAATTTTAAAACTGAAAATCCTAAAAGACACCAAATTTTTTGAAAGTACTATATCTATTGGTTTCCAAATATATTAAATTACATATATTAGATATTGAAAATATATAGTTTTAATTATTAATCATATTATGCACAGTTACGATTAAAAATAAAAAGATAATATATATATATATTATATATGTATCATTTAAATTTGCATATATAAAAATATCACAGAAATTTAAACTCTAAATATTAAATAAACTACAAAGAGATATAATATTCTTTACTAATTTACTAGTTTTACTAAAAAGTATTTAATTTAAATCTAGGTATTAACTGGTTACAATAGAGAAACATGTTTTAAAATTTGTTAAAAGTTAAACCGGTGGAATAAGAGAAAATTAAAATAGAACAAAAAAGAGCATAGTTTTATTTAAGAAGAAAAAAAACAAGGAAAATGCAATCAATTAAACATAAGGAAAAAATAAAAATGTATGAGGACAGTTAAACCGTGGCAATAAATGAAAAATTTCAAAAATAAAAATAAAAGAAAAATTCAGAGAAAGGAATCGAACACATCATCTCAGATATTGCATGGGCCACTTATTGCCAAATGAGCTAAGGTAAATAAATGGGTTATGAACAAACATATAACTATTAAAATCAGCCTGGGGCACGTGCCCCACCTGCTGGCACTGTAGATCCGCCCCTGTACTCCATTATTGTCTCCAACACAACACTCTAAAAGTTTCTTATACTAGACTCTAAAAATTTGATTTGTTATGAATAAAATTCGTGTAAGAAACATATGACCATATTAGGACATATAGATAAATTCGTGTAAAAATATTAACATAGTACATGTCAACATATTTTACATTTTTTTAGAGTTTTAAACAAATTATCAATGTCATCATCGCTGGTTTAGGTTCGTGTTAACGGTTGGGCCGAAAAAAAAACGAATTTCAAAAATTATAGACTCTAATTAAGTAGGATTACTTATTCTAATTGTAATTACTTCATAAGTAAAATAATTAATAGACTTTTGTCTCTCTCTCTCTCTCTCAGTTTTTTTTTTTTATTTGGGGTAAGCGTTGATCGTTGTGTAATTTCCCGGCAACGGAAGAGAGGAGGAGGAAGAGTGTAAGCAATAAATTCCTCTTCTTCTACTTAAAAACGACATCAAAAGGAGGACCATATACACACACTGGGATCTGTGATTTTGAAAGATAAATTAAAGTTTGAAATAAAGTATCTGATCTCAAAGTTTTGGTTTCCCATCACAAAATGCAAGTTGGTACGATTCGGTTTGCAATTTTTCTGCAAACACAACATGGCTAAGGAGATAAGGAGATGTAAAAAATATAGGCCTTGAATGGTTACTAGTTTTTAGGGTATCTATAAGACATGAACCCAGAAGAACTATTAATTAGTTTTCTCTCTTGAGTACTATTTGATGTCTACTATATATAACATAAAGACAATATCACCTTTGTTTATCAATTAACTGTTTTATCTCTTTTCTTCTTTGGTTCTTCTTTCATTTTTTCTAAGACCACAAATATCACGATGACAGTGAAAATAAAATCAGAATTTTTTTTAAGAAAAAATCAAACTTAGACGTAGAAGCAAACCGTTGAATTGTGTGGTTCAACTATTACGTGGTTTTGATTTGGCGAAGAACAAATTAAGTGTTTTACGATATAGTGATTATGAAGATTAAGGTTGGTGGTGAGTTTGTTTTCGGCCGAATGGAAGTAAATTTTCAGCGGTATAAATGGTTGTAAGTGATGGTGGTTCCAATTTCATAGAAATTTAATTTTAAAGAACTGGGTTTGATGTGGATGGGACAAACAAAATAGGTGAGTTGTGTGTGGTTCAATTGTGATGGTAAATTCGAAGAGGTAGTAATTACGACGGTGATGTGTATGATTCAGTGAAGACGGAGACTAATTTGAGTGGTTTTCAATTGAGTGACGGCCTAGATTCATCCCGAAAGAGATAATGGACGGCCAAGATTCATTCCGAAAAATGGTGAAGCTTGTGGGTTCTTCCGACTTTTTTTTGGTGAAGAGATGTATAAAAGAAATATTTGTTGCTTTCCAGCTCAATTCGACATGCTATTCCTCGGCTTGATGTAAGTGTCGCTTCTTCTCCGTCTACTTTGTCGGTGAGCAGATGTAACAAACCAGCTATTTTTATTGTTATCATCTTAACCTCGTTATCAATTATGTATTAGTGAATATTATGTATATGTTACACGGTAATATTAGTATTATCCATATATCAACTATCTTACCATGCTCATACAAAAGTTATTCGGATATTTAAGACATTAGCACGGTATCATTCTATATAACTTGTTATAAATGTTATCATGTTAATCATGTAAGAGAAAGACTATTTTTTATATTGAATTGATATATACATAAATGAAAAATAATGATTCATGATTTTAAATCGATAAATATGTATTTAACACATAAAATGTAAATTTATCGCGATAACAAGTTATTTAGCATATTAAAAAATAGTAGATATCATGCTAACAAAATAATTAACTAACTAAAACTGTAACTGATTTGTCACCGGAAATTTGACTGGAGCTATTGTCGGAATCCATCTGAAATGTTATCTCGTCGATATCGATTTTATTATCCTGTTAAACAATTTATTACATGCGGAAGGGTATTTTCGTCCAATTTATACAAATTGATGAGAGATGACTAATTATACAAAAAACACGTATATATTCTTAATTTTTCAGTTATCTGGATATTTAGATTAAATTGACCCTAGTTTTTAAATGGTTTTTGGTTTCTGTTTATGAGAAAATCTATTTTTTCACTATTCTAGATTTTAAAAAATTATTAGATTCTCTAAAATTTAGGAAAACTAGTTTTTGACTGGTTTCTCCAAGTTTCAAAGAGAAACTAAAAACCATGAATTTGAGGTTTTGGTGGAAAACTTACTTTTCAACGTGATTATGTTTTATTTTTGATTTTTAATTAATTTTTATATTTATTGGAAAAAACCAAAATTTTAAAAACCTAAATCCAAAAACCAAAATCTAAAAACCAAAAACCACTTAAAAACTAGTAAACATACAGGGCCATAATCTATTTATAGTTTTTTTAGCATAACTATTTTTTTGTATTGGGTTTTGATTTTATTAAGCTAGTATGATTTTGTATAATTATTGTAATATCAAGTAACAGT